ACCCGAAAATCAAGTAGATGGACAGGCAGACAGATGTGATGAGGGTTCCGTGTACTGCTGTACCCTATGCGCCTGAGGGATTTAAATTAGAGCTGTCGAGTCAATAGGAATTGTATCAAGTATTCGTAACATTGACGAACTCCCCTCTGAGCGTGTACAGAGGGCCCAGTATGAGTTTGTTATAATATGTACGATGTAACTGTGTTTAATCCTCTGATTGGTTGGTTCATTAGAATACGCCAATCAGACCGCTGAACACGGTAATGGAAAAAAAATCTTGTACTAAGCCCTCTCTACCTATACATACGTTATGGAACCGATTAAAAAGTAATAATACGTAGTTGTACGAAGGACACGTTTTGTACTGAACAAGGGGTGACATGTCTGACCCGGGACGTGGAACTGGAAGCAAGCTGCGTGACCGTTGAAACATTCGACCCAGAAAGTTGTTCGTCACGAACAACGGAACAACCCCTCTTGTATTGATATCTTATATATTTACTTATAAAAGATATACCAACGATTTAAATAATAGTGATTTTAAGTCATTCAATTTTGGTTTAATATATTCTAAAATTCTAAACGATCTAAGGTTAAAACCTGGAAAGGTGTGAACCCCTACAGACTTTGAACTGTCATTCCAAACACTCTGTATACTAGCATTCTATCGGTTGGTATTTACTATTACTATGAATACATAAAGAATGAATTGTATATAAATAAAAAATCTTGTTAATCTAACAATTCAAATGTTTACGAATTCAGAGTGGACATGTTGACAAACAGATAAACAACAAACAAAGCTTTACAAAACAACACAATTACCGCATTGTTAATTGTGTGGGATTAGAGATTTGAAAAGAATTCGTTTGTAAACTACGAGCCTAGGATATATAAAATTATTGATAAAATCGTAATGTAAATAACTAGGATGACAATAATTATTTAATTTAACAATAACATAATATCTATCATTTCTGGAAAGGTAAGACAAGACTGGCGAAGGTAGTATACCTACCTACGTGACATAGTTTAACAGTTTAACTTCTATTTTCAAAATCCCACTATTTTAGCTCTATATCGTAGTTATCCAGTAATCCTTTGGGTACTTGCCAACTACTCCAATTCAATACTTTTTTCAAACTGTCAAAACGACAGTTCTCTTTGAATTTTGTACGAGATTGTGTATTGTGACGTCACGTTTTTTTAGCGTCAAACAATATTTACAGCATGCTTATTTCCTAAAAGGGTACTGGAAAAATACTAAATTTAAGTTGATTATAAAACCAATGAATAAAAATGTGATTATTTTTTAATATTTTATTATATTAACAGTTGAAATAATTTATTTTTGATTAAGGAAAGAACTCAATTATGAAATATGTATAGGTACCTCTTTGTCAAAGCAAAACACAATTTCAAACTCCATGCTGTTTCCGAGAATAAAAAAGCCGAGAATCCGAAATAATATTTCGTCTAATTTGGGGATAAAAGACAAATAAAAAAAAATTCTCAAAAATTAATGATAAAAAAATTCACCTACATATATCACAAATAAATAGATCGTAGATTCTTAGGCGATACGCGTAGCCGCTCCAAAAAACCGTGGCACTGCTACGCTACCTCTCCTCACTTAGACGCCGTAGCATCTAGCTACGAAATTCACTCCAGAATTTATTTCATCCTAACCAAATACAAATGGTAGCAAATAATTACATTTGAATATTAAAAACAGGTTATACAAATCGGTATTCTGCTTCAGTAAGTAATGAGGTCAGACTCAATCCCTTGCGGTTGGAACAGTTAACTCTATTACCCAGTCCGCCACTATTTGAGCGACAGTGAATAATTCAATTTCTTGTACCTATTGATTATATATTTTGCCAGATCGATATTAAGTTGTATTCGATTATTTAAATAGCTAGTAAGCTTCGGTACCTTTTGTTGGCATTCAATAACTGACACGAATAAGTATTGGTTTTTAAATGTTTATAGTAATTGACAATATACTCAGAAATGTCAGTAACCATAGGATTTGTTCGCTGTGTATAGCAATTGGCTTACCACAAAACATATGTATATTATATGCTCTGTGTGGCTTACCCTGTTCTAGGTACAGACACATATCGTCACTCCCTTTTATTGCCAAAGGGGTAAGATAACAAATAGGTACATAAAGCTAATAGATATATTATATTCATATATCTTCTAGAAAAATCAACCGTAAAATTGTATGTGAGTACTGTTATTAACAATAATGAAATGTGGTTATGCAAATTATACAATTTATCTAATTATTAGTACTCACAACATTACGATTTAAGCGTATGTAGGTAATGACTGTTATCAGGAAGATTGTGATTAATCTTATAACTATCTGATATAATATAATCAATTAATTCCGTGATTATGTTTCATTTATAACTAGATAAACTGTAGTGTTGTAGGTAGATAGTTGGATATCAACGCAAGTAAATTGTAAATAGGTATATAATTTAAAAAATACACATTACATTATAATATCACGCCTTTTACCCCCGAAGGAGTAGGCACAGGTGCACACTACGACACTTAACGCCACTGTACCATGTAACACCCACTTGTTACTATTCATGTTATGAGCCCCATGTAATAGGGGGTGAGCCTATTGAGATATACCGGATACAATTCTAGACTCCGTGCTTACACAAATATTTTTTATAAAACCCAGTAATACTTTACCCGATCCGGGAATCAAGCCCGAGACCCCTTGCCCTTCAGTCGCATTTGCCTCGTTGGCAGTCAGTAAAAAATCGAGGTAAGTAGTGAATCGGATATGATTTAATTGTATTAGTACCTATATTTTAATACACCCACTTTTATTGCCAATTTCAATAACCTATTTCTCCAAAATCTGTGCATAAGGTTATAAGGTTGATTTTTGATAGAAATTCTATACAACTAATGTCAAATTCGATCCTTATTCACACACTTTTCCGAGCGTACGGTGCGTTGCGATTCGCGCGCGCCTCAAAGAGCCATCAAACCACCACGGATGGGGCCCAACAGGGCTGACGCCGATTCGGAGTCGCGGAGAACCTAACGGGTTACCAGGGCTCCGACTCGAAGCGCAGGAGTAGGAACGGGGTGGTTTTTAGTCAGTAAGAGTCTGACACTCCCTCCCGCCTCACCCAGGCGGGAGCAGTTATTCGATGACTTTCCCCGCCTAAAAAAAATCCATACACTATGGAGAGATAGGTCATTGAATCGGCAGTTAGCCAGTTAAGTATGTTATTATTTAAAGTATAAATCATGTAGAGAAGCCTATAATCGAGCAGTGGACTGTCAATGGCTGTTAATGATGTTATATTACAGGTTTATTCTGTTAAAGTTACATTATAATTTGTATTTATTCGTTTAAAATATGGTTTAAGATTACTTTTCCTGTTACTTTTATATTGTGACGCACTGTTTTTTATCAGTTTACTACCGCCCGCGATGCACCATCCCATTTTTTTCTGTTTTAACAACCTTCTCCTAATATTAACAATTACAATAAAAAAAGAATTAGTGAAATCGGTTCAGCCATTCACGCGTGATGCTGTGATCAAGGCAAAAAGGGATTTATTTATATATACATATATAGATTAGGTTTCCTTTCACAATTCTTCAGAAAGGAATTATAACAGGAATAATAAAGCAGTACCTGTGTAATGTAATTTTATAAGTAAGTATGTTCACTCCTATCGTAATTTAATACTTTAATTCTAATGTAGACAATCTAGTTTCCGTATGGCATCGAGCATTTCTTTCTTTATTGAAACAAAGAGTTTCCTTTTTCTTGTATAGAAGCACTATTTCTATGGATTGTCAGTATGCGTATGTGAGCACCATGTTAGACTTAAGATCTTTATTATTTTTATTTTAGTAAGTTATTAGTATAATGCGTCAAGCGTGTCTTTGCATTGTTCTTACATATGCGTACAGTATTGAAATATGTATCAGAGACATTGTAGAACATACTTTTTTAAAAGAGTAACGAATGGAGTTTCTTGCTCGTTCTTCTCCATTCGAATCTACGTTTTGGAATGAGCACCTAGCTTCACCTAGCTTCACTGACGGACTGACTGACAGACTATTATTTATTTTGTATTTGTTGACGTTTCAAAAGTACCAAACTATGGTTTAATTGAAATAAATGCTTTGACTTTGACTTTGAATGCTTTTTCATATCCGTATCTTATTATCTTTATAAAAATGTTACTTTACGTAATGACGTTAGCAACGAAATCGAGTTGGTCATGGATGTCTACTACATTTATATTGTAATCAACTATGCATGATTATAATTGTTGTTGTTTTTTGCACTTTGTTCCCTTATCAAGAAATTACATTGTAGAATTAAATTTTATTTTGTAGTACCGAACTTATGAAGAATCCGTCTACTTTACTAATGTAAATGTATTTTATTTTTATAAACGTTGATTTTTAATGAAAATAAGTGCTGTCGGTAGCCAAAATATTTTAATTTTATCCAAAACAGTCTGTATCCCATCCACCAATTAACTGAATCCTATGAACAAACAGCCAACCTGATTCCTAACAAAATTATTAATTTGAAGCACACTAGACGTTATTGGAATAAAACGATGTACCTATAAAGATTTCAATTTTTAGAAGTTCAACGAATCTGCATACACGCACCGATAAGTACACAAACACTTCCTAGTGAATCGATTATCTGAACAGTTACCAACACATCCAACAGACGGCGAACCCTCCGTCTAGCCAGGGGCGAGATTTGTGACCTTGGCGCACCCCTCCAGACTACATCTACACTCATACCGCTAGCAACGACTGTACGCCAGTACAACAATACGTTTACAATTTGTGTTTACGTTTATTCGCCGGCTTAATACATTTTATTTGAAGATTCGCTCAGGGTCCGATTGTTTCGTACGTAAGGGTGACGTCTACGGTGTGGTCACGCGCGTAGCACAGCTCAGCACTGAAGTATCGGCGGCAGAGTTGGTCCGGCCGCCGCCGTCAGTCACATCGGCCGCGTCGTCCGCGCCACACGCTACCCGCCGCGCACCCACCGACGATGTTAGCACTGGTGCTCCTCGCCGCCGTCGCACTCGCGGCCGCGCAAAACGATACATTGCCGCGACCGCCCGCGCCTAGACGCGAACAGTTTCGAGTTATATACGAATGGAACGCTATCGATTTCGAATGGAAATCCCCGGAAGAGCGCGAGGCCTACCTCAATACAAGCCGATACATCCCCCAAAACGTCCTAATCTCTGGCATAAACTTCTACCAAGACGACTTGTTCCTGACTATGCCGAGGATGCTGGACGGAGTTCCAGCAACACTGGCGACAATTCCCGTGGCCCCAACTGACACAGCACCAAAGTTGCGCCCGTTTCCTAGCTGGAGCCAAAATGCTGTCGGTGATTGCAACGCGTTGCAATTTGTTCAAAATATAGAAATTGATAAAAATGGCCTTATGTGGATATTGGACAACGGACGTGTGGGTACCCTCACCCAGAACCCTGACGCTAAGTGTCCTCCCTCCCTGGTGCTCATAGACCTCAAGAGTGGCAAAAATGAAATGGAACGCATTCCGTTCCCAGCAAACACGGTGAATCCTAATACGACTTATTTGAATGATCTTGTTGTGGACAATCGGAATGGTGATTATGCGTACATTACGGATAACAGTGCTGTAGATCCTGGAATCATAGTTTTCCGCCGTAGTGATAAAAAATCGTGGAAAGTTCGCGACAGTCAGTCAATGTCTTCGGTCGCCGAGGCTACATTTTTCCGCATTAATGGCACCTCAGTTAACTTACCTGTAAACATCGATGGAATTGCCCTGGGACCACAATATCGTAATGAAGAGGGCAAAGTCGATAGAAAAGTATATTACTGTCCCTTGTCAAGTTATCACCTGTACGCTATAAACGCTTCCGTACTGCAAAATGAATCTCTAGGTCAGCAAGGTAATGGTGCGCTGCGTCCCTACGTCGTCGACCTCGGTAACAAAGCCTCGCAGACTGACGGCATGAAGATGGATTCAACTGGTGTCTTATTCTACGGTTTGATCGGAAATTCGACTATTGCGGAATGGAATACGACCGTCGACTTCCGTGTCGGCCAACGGACCATCGCTCGCGATCCCAACTACATACAGTGGGTTGATCGATTCACATTCGATAATAAAGGAAACGTTTATGTGGTCATAAATAGGCTGTACAACTTCGTGAAAAATCAGGTGTCTGTGAATGAAGTTAACTACAGGATTTTGAAGTCACACACTGGTTCGAAGAGCTACGTGTTCAGTGAAGACCTGGTGGAGCCGTCGACACCGTCGGGCCCGCAGAGCGCGGCGGCCGCCCCGGCGCTCGCCAGCTCGCTGCTGCTGCTGGCGCTGGCGCACCTGCTGGCTTAGTGCGCTAGCTGCTCCGGTCTGCAGGCCGCCACGACCTTGAGTACTAGTGCTTGTCATTAAGCAACGCTCGGACTGATGCGTAACATTACCAAAAATATTTAAAGTTACCTTGACCTCGTGGTCCAACCAGTGATATGCGCATGTAAAAATGCTTTGAATAATTATATTTTAGAATAATTCTACGTAGGAATAGTATACCATAGAACGAACAACGGTGACCTTTCTAAGAGGGGTCGTGCCGAAGACGAGTCATGTTGGTTTCAACGAAAGGTCGAGGACGTGTTGCCAAATGCCGTGGCTCGGCTCAACAATAAACATTCCAACTATTTCTATAAGGTGCATCTCGGCACAATATTTATTTATAATTCTTAGGCATATAAATACTTGACCAGTAATGGGTAAGCAACTAATATCTCAAATATCTATGGAACTGTATATATCAAAGAGAATCGAGTTGTACGCGCCAACACATAGTGTGCGATAAGTCTACATAGTTAAGATCTGTTTAAGATAATTTGTGTATTATACATTATTGCAACTAATATGTAAGATTGTATGTTGCGTGAACGCGACTGTGTGTGACTATGAATAAACGTGTTTATCATATTATACTGATTGTAGTTTTTATTTGCATGCAAACACTGAATGTGTTAAATGCGTAAAGTTGTTAAGTTGATGTCGCAGAGGAATCTCGTTAATGTCCGCAAGGCCGCCTTGTAGACAAGGAGCTCAAGTTTACATTACGAATACTCAACAAGAATAAAAATAAATTACGCTTGCATAATTGCATATTAATTTATTAAAGGTAAATGACACACTTATATGTTTATATTATAATTAAACTAACTTGTTGCTAAACAAACATAATGTTTCATCCATTAATATGACTCTGAGATAAGTAAGATAGATATCAAGTCATAACACTAAACATCCATTCTTCCATTAGTACACAACCGTCTATTTCAGACAATAATTGCCAAACACTACGAAAAAAAAGAAAATAGACACCAACCACGCAACGTCTGAACATTACGAGGTTATTTATCCTATTACCTAGTTGGGTAAACTATAAATTGTGTTGCAACTATACAACTGCAGAAAAAAAGAAAAATACACGTACAGCACCTCATACACCACTTAATGTATTTATAATATTTATTTCATTTTACAAATGTAAAATTTATGCGCTAATACATAATTAGAAAATTCGAACAACTACGTATTCCAAATATCTAATTCAATAAAACCGGTACATTTATTAATACACAATCCACCAATAGCATGATTTTAAAAATAAATAATTTAATGATGTTACAGTGTAGATTTGCAAATTGCACATCACAATAGAACATAAAACCAATATAGTGTAGAACGTATTGTTATGAGATCGATTCTCAAAGTATTTACTTTGCATACAAAGCTCGGGGCACAACAACAGTTGCTGAAGCCTCTAATTTATTACCTGAACGTGTTAAGTTTACAAAATAAACTTATCCTATGAACATTGTAAGAATACTTCGTGCTTACTTGCATACAACAATGTTGAGTATGATTTTATTAAAGTAAACATGTAGATACATAAACTCACGCTTTCTTCCCGTAGAGTTTGGTAGAGATAACAGACTGATACATACATAATATAGGTACATACCTACCTACTTCTTTAGCTTCTCCCACTTACATCATATAAGCACACTAGATAAATATCTCCTTCTATTCTACTATTAAACATTACGTAGTTATTTAGACTGAAAGGTTGGTACGGTGGCTGTCCAATTGGCTGCCGCGCAACCTGACGCAGATTTGATTCCCATACGGAACTACTCTTTGTTGATCCACAGATTATTGTTCTAGGTTTGAGTGTCATGTGTATATGAACTTGGTATGTTTGTAAATGCACCCACGAAACAAGAGAGAATCGTTTAAAAAAAATTACATTCTACATTGTCTCAAAAATCTGACCCTCTAAATATATGAAAGACTTGAAGTCAAAGACAAACGTTTGAAATCTGTACGCCAATGAATTAATGTTGCACTCCGCTTATTTATACTTCTAACAAAACACCTGTTGTATGGCCTCTAATAATAAAACACGGTGATCCGTGACATTCCATATTCATTATATAGTACATGTACGATATTTACATAAACATCATGAGCTATGAGTATGATCAATAAACACTATGTGTGACTTCGCATCACACCGCTGGAGACGTATGGAAAAATTTACTATTTACTGTCCATCATATATGACCATTATTGGAAAATTTATGGAAGTAGTAATTGACGTGTGCGCAGTACTTAAGTGTCTAAGTCCATTTGCAAGGATGAACGTAGACCATTAATTACTAAAGTAAGCACTTGTAAACATTTACGAATGTAATACATCATATACGAGATAAATTAGTTATGGAAATTGATTCATCATTTTCCTTGATTCTTAAGTCAGTCCTTTGACTGACTTTTCTGCTGGGGACGGGGTTTCAAATGTAGTACAATTATCTTCTATATTTTTAAATATCATTTGAGTCATTTCCGTAGACTAACCATCAAATAATCAATTGATACATCGGTAGATAAGTCCTGTTTCTACTTGAGTAACTACTTTCATTTGTTCTGCATTAATCAATCAATTTATATTAACTCTTCCGTTACGTACTGAGTGAGTGACAGACGACGTATAGCCAAAACTACTCCTCATAGAAAGCTGAACTAGGAAGAAGATCACCTAGTGATATTTTGTTTTTAATTCTTAAAGCAATGCAATTCATACTATCGTATAAGAAGTTGAAGCAGTAATTAATCGATGAAGAGTGATAATAAAAAAATATAAATAAATAACATTTTCTTAGCAAGATCAGTGTTTTTCTAAACATATCTCAAGCCAGTAATTAATTATACATTCTTGAGTGAACATCAGATAGTTTCAAGACTAACTCATTGAACAAACAAACATTCAACATTGATATATGTTGTGAATCGTAGAAGAATAACATTTGGTTTGCTCATTCATAGATTCAAAGCAAACTAGGCCATATGATGTATTATATACGACGTATATACGTCTGCATATTTATTAGCTAAAACACACGGCCGATTTCTTCAGACGTTGGTTGACTTTGTTGAAACTGCCGCGTATTTTTGATAGCTTTGATGATTCTTATAATAGTAACTTTTAGGAACGTTCACATTTCATCATCATCATCATCATAACTTAAACAAAGTTCCGTCTCTTGAGTGAAAGCTTACCTACGTACACTTAAATTTATTTATTTATAAGCACATGTATAATTTTACAGCACAAGCCAAAACATTATACAGTTAAACAATAAAAATGTTACTTATTTACTATTTTACACTTATGTATTAGGTATCTTATATAAAAAGTACAAGAAATGCAAGATACAACTTACATGTTTATGGAATAAGCCAGTAAACAAGCAGACGGATCACCTGATGGTAAGCAAATGGCGCCACCAAAGGACACCCGAAACACCAGAGGCGTAGTGCGTTACCGGATTAGGAATTTGAGGATTGTTGTTGATTCGGGATTGAGGAACATATAAGTTATTTCTCAGTCAATATCATAACAACCCTTACATAATTACTTTTTACGTAATTTTGTATCTAAGCCGTAAACAATATGATTTTAACAAATCACTATCTGAGCTAGAACTTTAAGCTAACAGTACACCTACAAAGAATTAAAAAGAAACGTAACTAATAGCTATGTATTATAATTATAACTGATACTTGAACACTAGACTACGGAAATATCAACTTTTGTTTCTTGTGAATTAACATAACAGTGCTGTGGCATGAGCCAAATCGCATAAACATCAGTCTAATCGTGTGAACAGAAAAATCAATAGATTGATACTGGCATCCAATAAATTATAACGAGGCTTTTAAAATGTCAAAAGAATGTTTCGATTTGAATCGATTCGATGCTTATTCCAATTATAAATGCACTGAAAAGTGTACATTAAATGAAACACTTTGTCCCAAGTTACGTCTATCTAGAAGTAAATTGTCAATTTGCCACACGCCGAACCCCCGGACCGGATAATTCCTCATACCTTTCGCTTAATGACAATTTTTGAAATTCGATAGGACCTATAATACTCCAGTGAAAATTTAACCGTCACCTATTATAGCTAAGGGAATCCTTAAAATATAGAAGAGTTGGTAAAAAACGGAGTCACTCGATCAATGATAGTCCTAGACTCCAGTACTGTATAATTATCTTATTTAGAACGTATAATCTGCGCATCCATTTTCCATATTCATTAAGGTTGTATCATAAAACTACGCGTAAACATCATTTATGCGACGTTTCCTAGGTCATCATCAAGTATTATAAAAAGCATAAACATTATTATAGATTCGTCTCAACATCTAATAATAAACCAGTTGTGTTTTGAAAAATACATGCCAATTGAGTAGTAGTGCATTATTTAAGTTTTCTGGAAACTACTAAATCAACATAGTTTATGCAAATATATGAAAGACTATATATTCTTATGAATCTTAAGGTATACATGTTAATTTCAAGTACGAAAGTAAGCTTCAATTGAGCACTTGTCACTTACACAAAATTAGCCTGCTCATTTCGGACATGCTTGCGAATCGACAGGTGTTCGATTTTAAAACATTTTTGAACATGCTCAATAGAACCTTTTAGCATGCTACTTCAGAGCATGTATAACAATACCTCAGTGTTAGAACTGAAAATTTACTTAATGTTAAACTAGGTAAAGTAATTTGCAAATACATATTTATGTTTGCTTGACACAACAACAAACGATTCCGGAATTTCGTGTCGTACACAAACTCACACCAGTCATACTTTCTAAAGGCAGTCAATTAATTAAAAGCAAAATAATCATACATGCATAAGTAATATTGTTCCGTGTGTATGTCAACATAACGACAGCTATCGATAATATACGCAAAGTCTTGCATCGATATCGAATAGTGTCAACTCTAAACTAGTTTCGATTCGATCCGAAATCGAGAGTGATTTTCACCAAACATTTTTTGTACACTTTGCTTAGAGGATTAATATAGAAAGTACTCGACTATCAACGAAAGTTCGATAAGTAATTCGGCGAACTGTCGCTCGATCGATTTTAATTACCTAATTAATTCTTTATTTATTTATTGTAATGTATACTGGTACATAAACAGAATAGTGATGATTTCACTGAAACCAGTTGCATGTTTAAATAATATTAGAATAATAATTGTTGGCATGAGTGCATGAATTAATTACTATATTTATCGTTGATTATTTAAGATCGTTAAGTTATTTTATCATTGAACCGCGTAATATCAAAATTGAATTGGTCACGCATAGAATAGAATCGTTTGATAAGTTTTCTATTTCAATTTTCCCAGTAGTATCTAACAAACAACATGTATAAATCTAACTTACTATACCGATAACAGACGGATCACCTGATGGTAAGCAATTGGCGTCGCCCATGAACATCTGGAACACCAGAGGCGTTGCAAATGCGTTACATGCCTATTGGGATTAGGAATTTAAGGATTGTTGAGGATTCAGGGATTAGGGAAGGGTGCGGGGAGGTAATTGGCCTTCGGTAAT